AACTTTGGTTCATTTGATTTGTCTCATTAAGCGACAATATTTGACTATAAGCACATAAGATATGTTCTCCATTTTCTCATCCAATTAGTATTATGAAGTTTCTAATAATGCTTGTAAAAAGTTAAGCATGACTTGTGTTGTCAGTGGTATGGCTTAGAAGTTAGGTTGACATAACTTGAAGGTGGTGTATGAGGCTATACAAGAAGGCCTTGGAGGTTGTCGATGATGGATGAGGGTAATTAGGATGGTATTATTTTTTTCTATGGATATGGTACAACGTGAAAACAACGAGTGAGGTGCCTTATGAAGTTTATGAAGGTGATTGAGGCCAGGGGCGGAGCTAAGATTTTATTCATATGGGGGCACAAAATTTTAAATTAGTTAAAAAACCCTCAACCTTTTTCATCCGGACTTGGGACCTGCATTGGTGATTTAAAAAAAAATTAATCGTTAAATTCATTATAAAAAGACAGAAGATATAATAAAACAGAAAACTAATTACATATCATCTATAATTTCTCCCGCTAAGTCTTCATTTTTTGAAATCGTTGTACAATCAATTCATTGTCGATACCATTGAATATATCCTTTTCAATATAAGTAAGTAAAAAATCATTCATCCATGAGTCTCCCATACGATTACATAAACGATTTTTTATAATGTTCAATGCAGAAAATGCACATTCAACTGTTGTTGTAGCAATTGATAATATCAAATCAAGCTTTATAAGTAAAAACACCAAAGGATAAACATCATTTTTTTGAGTCTCCACTATTTTCTAAGCAAGTTCTCCAAGTCCTTTTAAATTCATAAATGAGGCGCTTGATCTCATATTAATAATAAATTTTTCAATTTGATTGTCTAGTATGATGAGATCCATTTCTAAAAAATCTGATGGATAAAATTTTGCTAGGCGTAGCCATCGTTCTTTATCAAAAGCTAAAAATGATTGAGATGGATTCAAACATGCGACACACATTAGTAATTATGTATTAATTTCATCAAACCTGTTATTAAGCTTTTAAAATTTCATATCTATAATAGTGTAAAATAATTTGATTTGATAATGTTGTTTATTTGTTATACATTCAGTACGATGCCTTAATCTTCCTCGCATCACAAATGAATCAGTCATGTTTGAAATGTTTACATTATTCTGCTCATAAAATAATTCAACTTCTTTAAACAAAGTGTCCCACCCACCATTTCTCATATTTTAAAGCCTTTGCTTAGAATTTCTTACCAAAGTCATGGCATTTATAATGTCCTGATCATTTTTTTTACAGTATTTGTGATAACTCATTTGTAACTCCCAATATATTCTTCATCATGTGTAAATTGAAAATAAATTCAAAACTTTACACAAATTCAAGTAGGAATATGCTTCATCTTTTTTATCACTACTAGATCCCTCATGTGTCACTTTATCAAAAACATCTATAATAGACCCAAATAGAAGAATTAAACTAATGAGTGAATTATAGTGGGTACCCCAATGAGTGTATCCTGGCCTTTGAAGTATAATTTGTTGATTTAAACCTAGACCTTTTGTAATCTCTCCACTTTCTAATTATTTAATAATTTTATAATAATATTTTCCTCTTAATATATCTCTTATTTTGCATGAAGTATCAATTATATTTAACAAATTAGTTATAATGTTGAAGAAGAAAGCAACTTGAATATGATTTTTTACGACTGCAACTAATGCTAGTTGGAGTTGTTGTATAAAACAAAGAACATAATAAGTTGAAGAGTTCTCTTTCATGATCAAAGTCTTTAATCCATTAAACTCACCCCACATATTGCTTGCTCTATCATACCATTGTACTCGTAATTGTGTCACGCTCAAACTATACTTTGCAAATAAAGCTTCAATGGCCAATTTTAGTGTTGGAGCTTTTGTATCTCCTACATGAACAATTCCATTAAAATGATCAATGATACATCCTCGCAAATCAACATAATGTAAAGCAATGACAATGTGATCTTTGACTGATATATCCCGAGATTCATCTAGTAAAATTGAGAATACATCATTTTTCAATTCATTGATTATGACATTTGAAACCTCAATTACAACAGCTTATATGTTTTCTTTCTGGATTTCAGTAGCAATTAGTTTATTATTTCCAGGGGCATTATCCAAAACAACTTTATTTATATCTTCATTGTGATTATCAAGAAAGCACAGAAGTTCAAGAAAATTTCGTTGATTTTCAGAATCCTCTGACTCATTATACCCACGGAATGCTAACCCCTGTTGTAAAAGAAAATGTACACAATCAACACTTGCATTTAATCATATACGATAATCTTTGCGATTATGTTCTGTAGGTCTTTAAAAAGCAAATTTTATATCACTATTTTTATTCATTAAATTTTCACATTTTCGCCTAGCAATGTTATGTGAATTGTTCTTATTACCAACATGAATATGCAATCTTTCCTTTTCTTTCCAATTTTTAAAACCCTTTGTATCGAAACTGTCACTATTAGACTATTCTCCAATTTGGGGTTCATACAGATAACAAAACAAACAAAACGCTGCATCCTTGTTTATACTGTACTCTAACCAAGCTTTGTGATCATCAAACCATGCAGGATTAAATCTGTGAATTTTATCGCCGAATTGTGTACGTGGAAAATCTTGATCACGTGGTTAACACGGTCCTTTCAACATGTAATGTCTCCAAACATAACCCCCCTCATTAGGGTGATAGTCCATTTTTTTTCTCAATCCAGGATTGACAGGGATATCTACAAAATTTATTTCTACACGGCATTGTTTGATTTGTGTATTTGTTTCTTCACAAAACGTTTTGTGATCATCTCTTTCAACTTTTTTTTTTTTTGAAATATCTCTTAATGCTAAATAAAACGAAAGTAATATTAAAGAGATGTAGCACTAAAGAAATATTTTACTCTTTATTTTGAAAATTTTAAAACATTTAATACATATAGATGTGTAAAATCTGCTTTAATTGAACACTACTTACATTGCATAGAGTAAAATCTGCATTACATGATTACATCAAAAACATAATAAAATGATATATTTAACGAATTTCATCATTTATATTATGAGCATTCATAGAAATTTAGCCATCTATTGCTTTAAGCTATTTTTTTTTCTTAAAACCGAGCATTCATAGAAAAAGATGCTAATAATTAAATTAGCATTCGGTCGGGCTTCTCTCTAGTGACTGAATAGTCTCTTCCGCTTCCGCCTATTAGCATGTGAGATGAGAGGATAGCGCCATAGCAGGACGTGATACAAAGTTTTTGGGGAAACATCAGGATATTTAATGCATTAGTGATGAAAAAAGTAATTAATTAATGAATAAATAAATGATATTAATAATATAATATATTACCAAATTAACTAAAGTGGCTGACTTAGTGGGGCTATGGGGGCACGTGCCCTCAGTGCCCCCACACTACATCTGCCCCTGATTGAGGCTATCCAAGATAATCTTCCTTCTGAAGATCGAAACAACACTACCTGAAAATGGTGGAACCTAAATATGGTGGGAAAGTTGGATAGGAAGGTCGTTAAAGATGAGGCCTATTAGAATGGTTGTCCTATATCACTTTTGCTCATTTGGAATTTGATCAAATTACTTGGTCTATTGGCTTGTTCATCTCATCGAGAATTTTAATTCAAATATCGGTTTGCTAATATTAGAGTTTGCACGATTTTAAATTTAATTCTAAAAGCTTCAAATTAAAAAATTACTCAAGAATTCATGCTACTCAAGTGAATTTTCTAAAGATAGATCAAAAGTGATGCCTTCAAAATAATATCTTTAAGAATAAAAGTTTTTGTAATTAAATAAATAATATTTATGGATCTAAAAGAGCACATATAAACCACATGCCCATTCCTACCATAATATATAGATTAAATAGGGCATGCTTAAATTTCTTTTAAAATTTCTCAATTCAATTTTTTTTTAAATAAATGAAAAAAAAAAAGGTTCAAAGCTTGTTGTTAATAGGATAAAAGCTTTAGATACTTTTGTAAATAATGATTGGCATTAAATTATTATAAAACTCGCCAAACAAAAATAATGATTTTTAATCTTAGCCACATTATCTACAAATACTTTCTTAATTAATAAAAAAGCCTTAAGACTGAGTGATCAGAAGATTCCAACGCTCTCTCCTTTCAACGAACATAATTATCCATTAATTTAATTTTTTTAATCTAATTAAAATTTTCCTCACTACAAAGTAAAAAATATATATATTTTAATTTTTAATTTTTTTTTGGAAAGTATAATATACTCCATAAAATTAGAATAAATTTTATCGTTCATTAAAAGTTTTTTTATATTGTAATATTAATTATGATAATTAAGATTTTATTTTCTAAAAAAGGCCAAACATTTATCTTTATTTGATTCAATCAACCCTTCTAAAGCAATTGCAAATTCAAAATATCTATAAATAACTGCAAATTATTATGCAAAAGAAATTAAAATAGGAATAGAAATTTCTTTAAATGGCACTTTAAAAAAAATTATGACAATCATAAGGGCATAATTATAATTTGCTAATTATAGAATACGTTAAATTTAAAAGGTTAAAATTTTTTATAATTTAATTTTAAAATATTGTTATATAATTAAATCATATCAAAGAAATATGAGATTTTTTTTCTAAATTTGATTCAATCTAAATATTTGATCAAGTATTTTTATAAAAAAAATAAATATTTTAATTTTAGATATTTAATTGTTTGTAATATTTTTATATTATTTAACGATTAAAATATTATAAAAATAAATACATAAATTTAAATATTAGATATGAAATATATAAAACTTTAATGGCAGGGTTGTAAATTTGCATTCAAAAATTTCTATTTTTACCGAAATCCTGTCCCCAGCACATACGAAGCCCAAAGTGCTCCGCGTTACAGGTCGTCAATCCGTTCAATGGCCATCCAACGGTCAGATCTTCTCCAGTACATTATTAGTTAAACACTTTTTGTTACCCTCCCCTGTTCGAGGAGAATCTCTCTCCTTTTTTTCTCTACCTTGCTCGATTCAATTTGGGGCAAAGTAGATCGATCCGTGGTGTGCGGTATTCTGTTCTTAATTCGGCGACGGAATCCATAATCTCTGAAATCCTGACTGTATACCTCGTAAAAATCAAATCTTTGTGTTGAATCTGGTAATTTGGCTGTTGGAATCCATTTAGGACCAATCGGATGCCTGAAATCTCGTGAAGGTGAGGGCATTTGATCTGTCTCGTTCTTAAAAATAAGGCCTTGTTGTTGTTCCTTTAATGCTTATACGTCATGACGGTTCTCGCTGTTTTAGGGTGCGGAGTGTGGTGACGGAGGGTGGCGTGAAGATGGCTTCGGTGAGTTTCGAAGAGGGCTTTGAGAAGGACATAGAGGCGCTACTTCGTGAACAGCAGAAGCATCCTCACCTCCATCAAAGCCGAGCTTCTTTCGATCGAGAGAGGGATCTCAATGTCTGTCGCAGCGGAAGCGCTCCACCGACCGTTGAAGGATCGAGGAAAGCCATCGGGAGCTTGTTTGGCCGATCCGAAGTTGTTGGATTTGACGGACAGAACGCTACCGATGAGTTATTGGAGGAGGACATGCGATCGCAACTTGCTTACATGTCTTACTACTACTCCAATGAGAATCTGAATCCGCGACTACCTCCTCCTTTGCTGTCTAAGGAGGACTGGCGTGTGGCACAGAGGTTTGGTTTTGGCGGGTCTGGGTTAGGAGGGATTGGTGATCGGAGGGGTAGGAAGCTTTCAGTTGAGAGTGATGGAAGTAGCCGCTCTCTTTTTTCCATGCAACCCAGCCTTTCAGTGCAAGGTGAGAAGGGATCCATGGAACATGGTGGCGAATGGCTTGAGAAGGGCCGTGATGGTCTTATAGGTTTGCCAGAGATTGGGCTGGGATCAAGGAGGAAGAGTTTCGCAGATGTTTTGCAGGTGGTTTGATTTCTTTTCTAATAATTTCTACAATTATTTCTCGAGTTTTGTCCCTTCCAGCAGGAATGATCTGCTTTAGGTTTAGATGTCTTCACCAGGTTAAAAAAACTTGTGTTCTCAGGGCTTTTGCGGAACTATATATTGTCCTATTTTTTTGGTTTGTGATGTGAATTTGATAGCTGGTTTTTGTGCTGGATTAATAGTTCCATTTTCGAACTCTGCCAGAACGTTTTAGTATGCACTGCTACTAAGTCATTTTTTGGTAGTAAAACTGCTTATTTAGAAGCAACTTTATATGCTGCTTTTCCACCAGAGCCTTATCGTGTACAGGTAGAAAAACAGCTTACCTCTAGTGAACCAACAGTACCCTTGATAAATTAAATTGCTTTCAAATATAAAATTCATTGCCAAATGTGCACCAAGTTTTGACCTAAGAATAATGTCTTGGTGCCTCTTCATACTTCCAACTCTATTTTTAGCAATGGTGATAACTTCTGAAGTTCAGCAGTGATTCTGTATTTGAAAGTCCAATGTGGGGTTTCAAGTTCTTGGGACTTGTTACATTTTCTTTGGTCAGTGCCTCTGCTTTGTTGTTTCTAACTACAACTTTCTCCATGGCAAAATTTTGATAATATTTTTCATTTCATTTTCTTCTTTTCCTACTATATATGCATTCTTGTAAATTTGGAAGATGTTTGAAATTTCTTTTTGATGTTTTATACTTAGTTCCTTTGCAGGACATTAATTGATTTTTTCCTGCACATTTTGTGTATTATTTTTCTGTTATGGATTTTCATAACAAAGAGATAGAATCAAAGGTTTAAGTCCTACAGTGTGTGTACAAGTCATTGAATTTATTCTTGCATGAGATGAAATGGCATTCATAGGAAGTTTATCATTTTTCAACTGGTAGATAATTAGTAGCTGCACCCTCTCTAGTGGGTAGTTGTATGCCATGCATTTTGGTTTTTGCAATCTGTTAATGATTGGTATCTTTCCTGAGTTATTTTAGCTTATTTATTTTATGTGGTTGTACCATACCTAAAACTTGGATAGTAAAGATTTAGAGTATGAGGTTTCCAATTTTGTTCTATGAAGCATAAAAATTGACATGGGAAACAAACATGACATGATTACATGATATGGAGAAGAGAAAAAAGATACTATGAAAAAGGATGGTATGATTTGTTATGCTATATACTATTTTTTTGTTTAATATTAATATTCATTAGCAAAACCCATAGTTCAAGCACAAATTCCTAGTAACACATGTATCTTATATATATATATATATATATATATATATATAAAGGAAAGCAGTATATATTTCTTAGTGCATTCATTGTGTGTCATGGGTTGTTTGATTCGTTCAATTTTTGCATTAGAAAAACTCATATTTGGACGTAGGACACTTATAGTTTCAATTCTTCTTAACTTCAAATTCTCAATTCTCATTAATCTAATCTTGTCACGCTTGTGCTTGCAAATTAGGTTATCAGTTCAGCTATTTTTTTGTAATTGTGAAGACCAAATGCATTATTATTGAGGCCCTAATTGAACTGTTATAATATTGTTCCATGTATTTGGTTTTCAATATCATGTTATCATGTTTTTCTTCTAAGCTTTTTTATTTCCTTCTTATTTATTTATTTAATTTTTTTTTTAAATCAGGGTTTGCCAAGCAAGTCAATCCTATATATTCCATAAATTATGTCGGCCATATTTCTTGATAACCATACAACGCTCATCAATAAAAAGATGTGCGTGGCATACATAGCTGACCAACCCTTTTTAAGCTTTTTTATTTCCTTCTTTCGCTAACTTGAGCATTGTTTTATTTGCAGGAAGATTTGAACCATTCTAGTACCAGTGTAATTGGAAATATTTCACGCCCTCCCAGTCAAAATGCTTTTGACAATTCTGCCATTGGATCTCTAGAAGGCATTCGTTCTGGACGAACTTCACCAGGTCTTGCTAGGGTTCAAAGTCTTGGTTCTAAAGCGGCTCAGTCTTTTGCATCTGCTGTAGATCCTTCGCTAGCTATAAGTAGAAACACAGAATCTGTGATGATTGGCAGATCATCAAGCCCATGTCTCCCTGCAGTTGGAAGTAGGGTTTTTGATGTAGACTCAAAAAAGATATCCAATGGCTTCGGTGGTGTTCCTACTCAAGTATCGGATTATGTTGATGTGGCAGCTGCTTTGGCTGGCCTGAATCTGTCAAGCAAAATAGGAGGTAGAGAAAATGTTGTACTGAGCAAATTTCAGCATGGTTCTGATCCCTATAATACTTCTTCCATCCCTGGACTTGCAAATAATGAGTTCTCCAGGAACTCTGGTATTCTTAAAGATGATATATCTACAAGGGCCACAAATGAGCAAATTGGTCTGCAGAAGTGTTTATCTTCTAGCAATTTATCCAAGAAAGTGGCTCCTGTGCGAAAATCGAGTTTTTCAGGATCTAGCGGCCGTTATCAACAAGATTCTTTAAATGCTAATTTTCCTGAAAACAATCCAAATGCTTACCTACTCAATCATGGCCTCCCATCTATGCTGAATAATCACCTTGATGCAGGTTCTTTATAATTAAATAAGATCTACTTGCTGCTTCCTTTGATCCATATAACGTGGCATGTTTGTTCTCATTTCATAATTTTACTTGTGCAGGTGCTGCTGCTGGTATTGGAAGCCAAGAAGGATCAGGCTACCCTGTATCTGTTATAGATCCATTATATGCACAATACTTACAGGGAGCCTCTGGCTCTACCTCCCCTTATTCTGGAAACATGAATGACCCTTCACTAGGAGGGAGTTTTCTAGGCTCCTCACTCATGGATTTAACTCCTTATCAAAAAGCATATCTTGAAGCATTGCTTGCACAACAGAAATTGCAGTATGGTGGGGCCTTAAGCAAAGATAGTGGCTTGAGCAATGGCTTCTATGGATCATCTGGTTTAGGTTTAGGCATGACATATCCATCAAGTCCTTTATCTACTAATCTTCTTTCTTCTTTGGGTCCGGGAAGTCTACGGCCCAATGATCGATTGTCGAGGTTACCCTCTATGCTGCGAAGTGCAATAGGGGTACCCAAGGGATCTTGGAACTATGAAAGTGGTATCATGGAGGAAAGTTTTGTATCAACTTTACTGGAAGAATTCAAGAACAATAAAACAAGGTCATTTGAACTCTCGGACATTGTGGATCATGTAGTTGAATTCAGGTATTGTTTTGTATGCCTTGGCTACACATTTCAAAGAGTGCAGGATGGGTGTAACTAACTAGGCTTTTCCTTTGCAAAGTTTACTTGGTTATTATCCTTCAGAAACTATTTGATTTTTTGTTGTTATCTCTGAAAGCTTTTCTAGTTCCTGTCTTGCACTTTTCAAGAATTGGTTAAGTTTTCTGCACCTCTTTGTGAACCATCTGCAGAAATATCTCTCAATGAAGTAATGCCATTCATTTGATATTTATTTTCATCTTGAACTGGTGCATCTACTTAACCCCGCCCACCTCTTACAACTGTTTTGCATTTGATATTAATTACCTTGTCACATATTCTTGCACTGATTTTGGACACTCATCAAGAGATGGATATTCTTATTCGAATCTCTCAAACATGCAGTGCGGATCAGTACGGAAGTCGTTTTATCCAGCAAAAATTAGAAACTGCCTCGGTTGAAGAGAAAAACAAGATTTTTCCAGAGATCCTTCCACATGCTCGTGCTTTAATGACCGATGTTTTTGGTAATTATGTTATACAAAAGGTATGAAATTATCACTTGACTCTATAATTCACCTTTCTAAATGCACTTCAAACACATAATTAACGTTAATCTCTACTTTCAGTTCTTCGAACACGGTACAGAAAGCCAGAGAAATCAGCTTGCAAGTCAGGTTATTGGTCATGTTTTGCCCCTCAGTCTTCAAATGTATGGTTGCAGAGTCATTCAGAAGGTTTGCTCTTAATTCTTTATGGGTTTCATATTTACCCTTTTGGCATGCCCTGCAGGTTATGAGCTAATTTGGATTTGTTTTTTATGTGCTCACGCACTTGATTACATGCAGTCCTTTGCTTTATATCAATTACATTTCCTGCTAATGCAAGTCTGATGATTTCCCGTTGCACCAATCATACTATTTTTTATTTTTGCATGAAGGATTGCTTTGCTTATGGTTATTTTGTTGGGTATATGTGGACTGGATTTATGATATGTTTTGATGTTATCGAATTAATATAAGTGCCCCTTCATTGGTATAATTTTCGAACTTGGTACTAACGGTTCCGGGCTCTTAGCATATGCCAATCTAGACCTCTATGGAAAACAATCAAAACTTATGGAAGCTTGATGAATAATGGTTGAAAGTTGAAGAAATGTAGCTTTTTGTACTAATAAGAAGAGAGATAGATAGCTTAAAAGAAGAGGAATTTAAAGTGAAATAGGAGATCAGAGAAATTCTGCTTTGTTGGAGTGTGTAGGATAATCCTACAGGGGAGCAAAGACCAAGTAACATAATTTTTACCTATGGTTCTTGTGATTATTCATTTCCTAGATGAGATTGGATCCAGGTTCTGAAAAATGTGGGAAGGTTGCTTAGGAATTATTAATCTCTTGTAGAACCAGTGAATTTGATGCACTTAACTACATAATCAGGTCCCCTGTTGTAGATTATAATCTTTGGAGAAATAAGTGTGCTCACTGGACTTTTATCATCTCAACCATGCTACAAATTTCCTCCCCCTTTTTTAATTTCTTATATTTCTGGTAATTTCTTGGTTGTTTCTAAAGGCAATTTAGTTATGTACGATCAAGAAGCTTAATCTTTGACTTTTGAGTTGCAGTATAAGAAAACTGGTAACAGAGAAAATTTTTCAGGACAATGTATAGAAGCCATCTAATGCAGTCCTTCCTAATCATTCTCCTCCCTCTTGAGGAATGCATAGTTCTAGGAATTTGATTGAGTAATTTTATTCTTCTTAAAATGGCCACATTTTCTGTGCTGAGCATGTGATGTTAACTTTAACTTTTAAAGGATGATGAAGGCTTCGTTTGGGACGGCTTTCTTATTGCTTCTTAAAGCAGGTTTTTAGTACAAAAATTAAAATTTTTTGTACTTAAAAAGCTGCTTTAAAAAACAATAAAAAAGCCATCTCAAATGAAGCTGAAGATTATGTGCAAACTTTATGTGCAATTGGATGTGTGTGTCAGTATGCATGTGTTGTGATTGTCATCTATTAAAAGCTAATTTCATTTAGCTGTGTATTTTTGCAGGCTTTGGAAGTTGTTGGCATGGAACTTCAAACTCGAATGGTATCTGAGCTTGATGGTTCAGTTATGAAATGTGTTCGAGATCAGAATGGCAACCACGTCATTCAGAAGTGTATTGAATGTGTTCCTCAAGAAAGGATTCAGTTTATTATATCTTCCTTCTATGGACAAGTTGTGGCACTCTCTACCCATCCCTATGGTTGCAGAGTTATACAGGTTTTTTATTTTCTTGTAGCAATTGACTCAGCCTTTTTAATGTCTCTTTTCATTCCTTTCACTTCACCTTCCATTTGTTGTTTCATTTTACCCCAAACAATCTTAACTATGTGATTACTGATAGAATTTCTCTGCGTATTCGCAGAGAGTTCTGGAGCATTGTAATGATGCACAGACAGAAAGCATTATGATGGATGAGATCCTGCAGTCCGTTTGTAACTTGGCAGAAGATCAATATGGAAATTATGTGGTTCAAGTATGTTATGAAAATCATGTCCTTTTTTATGTTCCTTTTTTTATTTGACAACTTCATGCTTTAATAGCGATTTTCTTTTTCACAATTTTATATGCTTTAATTGCATAATTTATAATGGGAATTATTTCATGAATTTCAAATGTAGGGATAAACTTTTTAAGTATTTGGTTTGAAATAAAACAAATCCAAAGTAATATTTTGAGGAATTAGAAATTCTTCCGTTAATTCATTGTTGACATATTTTGAATTTTTGTAATGCATCAGGCGAAGCATCAAGAAGAACCCATCACATCCTCACTTGCGACCTCATAGTTGCACCTTTCTAGCTAAACAGATATCGTAGAACCCATCACGACGCCATGCAATTGCAACACCACCGCAACCTTCTTGAACCCATTGTTATGCTAGTGTGGCCCTCCTGCCCATTAAGACCTTGCTGAACCCATCATGGTTCCACGCCACGACGATCACCCACAACGTTACTGATTCCTCTGTTTGCCACCATCGTAAGCTTCTATAATGTGCCCTAACTAAAGAAAAACCGATTCACTCTACAGTTTACACTCTTCCAAATACTAAATGCAAATTATTGGATTTATTTTATGACTAACCAAACACCACAAAGTATTTCAAATATAATGATTAAAGTTTACAATACATTTAAAATTTACCTGTATTTTAGATGCTTGCATTCAAACAACCCTTAAATAAAATAAAAAATAATGTATATATCTAGGGTGTAGAGTTTCATTGCCATTTTTAGTTTTCCCGCATAAGGATCTTGAATGTCAAAAAAGTTTGAAGTTCGACCTTTTAACTTGATTGCAAAGCTTTACATTGGCTCTCCTGATGAAAAATTCAACTATCAGAGTTTAAAGAGGGTTTAAGCTGTCAGGTTTTTAAACAGTTTAGCATTTTTTAGCACTTTGGCTGCTAGCTTATTTTTTTTGCCCTAACTTAAAAATATTTTTCGTAGTTTAATTTGTTTGATATTAGGGACCAATTTGTTTCATCCTAAGTGTCTAAAAGTTATTTGACATCATTTTTAAAAGTTGATGTAAATGTTTGTTGAATTAATTCCCATTCTTGAAATTCACTTTGAAAAAGGTGAGAAATGAGTTCAAATTTGTGAATTAGGAAGCCACCTTCACCTCTTCTTTTTACTCTTATTATAGAATAATATTAAATTAATTTGATGAGAGATTAAAACATGATTTTTACTTAAAATGATTGTAAAATAATTCAAAAAAAATGTGGGTGCAAGTATGCACGAAACTTATACCAAACAAATATGGGAATTTAGTTCATCCGAATAAGATTCTTGTCAAACAAATAAATATCACTGCAACTAGGGGTGTAAACGAGTCAAGTCGAGTATTTGTCTTATCGAGTTAAGCTCGTTTAATTTAAAAAGAGCTCGAGTTCGACTCATTTAGGAAATATCAAGCTTGAGTACTTGAATTCGTTTGGAAAGCTCGAGCTTGTTTATTTGGCTCGATTATTTGATTTTAAATCAGCAAAAAAAATTTTAGAATTTGTACTTCCAACAATGATTTAAAATTTGTTCCAATAAGATAACCAAGCATATATTGTATACAAATTCTTGATGTACAACAAACAAATCAGTACAACAACAACAACAACAACAACAACAAATAAGTACTAGTTTAAAATTTTAACCAATTTCAAATACCATTTTCATGTAGCAATTTCAAATAAAATTTTCATGTTACTTCCAACAATAAACATTTTATAAAGTTGAAACTCATCAAGATAAAAAAGCCAGATATATGAAAACATAAATTTGTGTATATCATTACATCATTACAATAACAACCATTAAAAAGTTATATTATAAAGCCAAAAGATAGAACTATTCATTGTCTTCATCGTTGTGATACTTCATACTCTTTCAATTCTTTCATTTTGATTTTTGTTTACTTTAATGTGAACCGGAGAATTAATTTTAAAGACAAATGATTAGTCCATACTTTAAGAGAATAGTTGGAAGTAATATAATGCTATATTTATTAACCTTTGAAGAAAATATGCTCACCAAACTTCATGGACTAAGAATTGTGCACTATTATTGCATGAAAGATTCTGAAAAATAGCAAATTGAGAAAACCTGAAAATACACAACAGTAAGGCCTCTTTGTATAACCAAAAACAGCAAATTGACAAAAGAAAAATATGTTAAATCTTTCAATACAAAAGATGATTTGTAGTTAGTAGTTACACAATCTGAATTTGCACTTAAGTTGCAACTTATTCATGAAGAATAACCCATATCTAAGCAGGAGTTAGGATATAAGCAAAATGAGTTATATCTTCAACCTCATTAATTCTCATGCAATTGATTGGAGAATCTCCACCTCTTCATCATTTTCTTCTTCTTTTTTCTTCTTCATACAAGAAAGAACGCTCCATATATTTATATGTAATTTTTCAAATTTTAATTGAATGGGTTCAATGAGTGAAAGTATGTTGTGATCAACACCATTACCTTAACTCTTCCCTTCAATCCATAGTGACAATGAAGCCAATTCGACTTTCCTTTGCTCATCAGGAAGAATACCTTCTTTAAATTCATCCCAAAATTTTGATGTTTTTTTTCCTCTTCTTCCTCTCAATTGCATTATCAATATCATTTTTATCATCCAACTCTTTAACTTCATTTTCGTTATTTCCATCATTTTCTCATTCATCTTCATTGCCAACATCATTATTGTTATTACAAAGCTCATTTTCAAGTACCAACTCATTAATCTGCTCAACACTTCTATTTTCAATATTTCATTGTTTGCTAAGTTTATGCATTTTGTCTCCTGTGATTGACATTCTAAAAAAAATTTCAATGAGAATAAAATTATTATACAAAAAATGTTAAAACTGTTAATTTATCTTAACAGTAAATTATTTAAAGAAAATTAATGTATTTATCTGACAGTAAATTAATCTAACAAAACTAATTTTCAAGGACAACATCATTTCCATCCATGTAATAATTGTTGATTAAAAGGAAAAAGGTCTCTTCATTGAGTCTAAAAATGCTTACCTCTCACCAATCTGAACATAGGATTTAAGCAATTATGTAAATTAAACACAGTAGAATCTCTACAAGAAAATATTTTGTCAATATGCATAAAACAAAAAGCATTCCAATGAATAGAAAAAGAGATCTTCGTTTCTAGCTAGTTGATCTGGAGAGAAAAACAAAATACGCCTTATTACTTCTCCATGTATTATCTTATTAATTCATAAACACTTTTTATTTTCAAAGATGAGACTATGATTGAGTGAAATTTTAACCCAAGTTAGGTATGAAGCATGCAGCTGAAAAAAATAAAGCAAAAATAAGGAGATTGAAGGAGACGAACCGAATGGTCTTCGGCTCAGAGTCTTCCTACGCCGCAAAAGCCCTGCCAAAAAACATATCAACGATTTCTTTCAAAAGGAAATAGCAACAATCATAAGTTTTGATTCAGAATAGTAAAATAGAATATTGAAAATTTGCAGAACATAGAACAATTCACCAAATACAAACCTCCACAGATGTTGAGCATTGAAGAGGAAGATTAAACACAAAGTGCAAATAGAGTCTTGGCGCCGGCTAGGGAAATTATCGCGTCTTTCCCTTGCTAGGTCACTCGAGATGAAGATGGACGCCCGTCGTCCACCTCCGCTTGAACTTCGAACCGTCGCTGAGAGAACGAAATTAGGTCTTGGGGCTGCTGACAACTATGTGGCTTTCGAATTGGAATAGAGTCGAATGGGGTTATGGGATAGTAGTAACAATAGTTAATATATTGGGGTTTTTTTTTATATTTTCTTTTTTATCAAGTCGGTTCAACGAGCTCGCGAGTCGAGTCTGCCTATGCTCAAACTCGAGCTCATATAATATACGAGCTTGGCTATAAGCTCGAGCTGAAACTCGAGTTAATAAGCTAAACTCGCGAGCTCGTTAATGAGTCGAGTTCAAGCCGGCTCGGCTCACTTACAACCTTAACTGCAACTCCTTTCAAATTTACTGACTTTTGGAATTGAGATCTATACAAGTTCAAATACTTACATAATGCAAACAAATAGCCACGGTAATAGATGGATGCCAACTTTGGCCTAATAATTTACTTTCTTTCGTTTGGATTCTAGTTCTAGATTTTGTTCGACTTTGTTATTGGAGTTGTTCTTATGTTCTTTTTTGCTATGGTACACTGATACATAATATGGGGACACAGACATAATATGACAAAGACACGGGACAAGTTTTTTTTTTTTGAAAATATATCTATTGGACACTATAATGTAATATTATATTTTTAAAATAAAAAAATGCATACTAATTACCCATATTAAATAAATATGAAATAAATTCATTTCAATGGCTCATAAAATATGAAAAATATTTAAATTTATTAAATATTATAAACACAATTGTAGAAGAAATAGTTGCATGATATTATAGATTGTTATTATGAAGTTGAAAAAATTGATTCTTTTGTAAAAAACTAAAAAATAAATATTATAAAAAAAATCATAGGAAATTATTAAAAAATAAGTAAAATAAAATTAATGTTAAATAGCTATTAAGTTATTGAATTAATTTATTTTAAAATGAAAAAAGAAACTAAGACTTCAGTTATTTATGTGCTATGCCTTTGAATTTAAAATTTATTATTCAAGACGCATATCAGATGCTTGTCCATAATTTTTTTTAATCGGATACGTAGATATCATTGTTTTGGGTTTATGTTGAGCAATTGCCCATGTCCTGCATCTATCCGATACGCCACAGTTCATCTCACAGTGTCGGTGCATCTTAATAGCTTTTTTGTAGTTTCAAATGATTTAGGCTTCGTTTGAGACGGCTTTTTTATTGCTTCCTAATGTAGCTTTTTAGTATAAAAATTAAAAAATTTATACTAAAAAATTGCTTTAAGAAGCTATAAAAAAACCGTCCCAAACGATGCCTTACTTTCGTTTCTTTTCAGCATTCATGTTGTTTGTGCCTGATGGCTATTTGAGCATCTATTAACCTATCTAATACTGACTTGCAATCAAATATCTGAGTTCTGAATCAATATGGCTTTGATTTCTATCTATTACTTGTGTAATTTTCTAATTGAAACTGTTTGATAGATTGGAAGAATGTAATTGATCTTTTCTCTGATTTTTTTAGCATGTCCTGCAACATGGAAAACCAGCAGAACGGTCTGCTATAATCAGCAAGCTTTCTGGCCAAATAGTAAAGATGAGTCAGCAGAAATTTGCTTCTAATGTTATTGAGAAATGTCTGACGTATGGTAAGCCTGAAGAACGTCTACTTCTAATAAAAGAGATGCTTGGTCCTAATGATGAGAATGAGCCCTTGCAGGTTTGTTTTTGTTTTTATAGCTTTGGAAGGACTAACTTATATTTTTATAACGAGTAAAATGATAAAAGCCTATGCACACAAATTTCACTCCTGTATTTTTTAGCTATTAGAACTGAATTTGTATAGTTTTCTAGTTTCCACTTGTCTGATTACAACAACAACAAGCCTTTGTCCCACTATGTGAGGTCAGCTACATGAATCATTTTTTGCCATTGTGTCCTATTAAAAATCAAATTCTCATTTAAATCTAATAAAGAAAAATCATTTCTAATATTTTCTAACCAAGTCTTTTTAGGTCTATCCCTACCTTTTCTTAACATAAGTCAAATCTAATAACTCAACTTTCTTAACCGGGTCATCAGAAGGCCTCTATTTAATGTGACCAAACCATCTAAGACGACTCTCTCTAATCTTATCTTCCACTGGATCTACTCCAACATTTTCACGTATATGCTTTAGTATTTTATTGACCCCTTCAGATTCTGCAGCTTCGGTCTGTTTTCTTAAACCAGATTTGCTATTCTGCAATTCGATTTGTACATGATTTTCAAAATAAATTTGGCAGGCAATGATGAAAGATCAGTTTGCAAACTACGTTGTACAGAAAGTTTTGGAGACCTGTGATGATCAAAACCGTGAGCTTATTCTCTCACGCATCAAAGTCCACTTAAATGCGCTGAAGAAGTACACCTATGGGAAGCATATTGTTGCTCGAGTTGAGAAGTTGATTGCTGCTGGAGGTAAAAAAACAAAAAAAAAAAAAAATTCTTAGTGGCAGTATATTTTCTACACTCAAAATTCTCCTGATTCATTAAATTTAGGCTATTTCTTCTTTTTTGTTTAAACTCTCTCTTTTATAGTTTTGTTTGAAACTTCCATTATTATGAGAGAGAGAGAGAGAGGAAGTTTCTCTTTTAATTACTGTTAGAAATAGGGGTGTCAATTTCGGGTCACGGGTCGAACTCGAAACTGATCTGGCACTATTCGGGTCAACCCGAACCCGACCTGTTTTTGGTTTTCCGGACCCAAGCACGACTTGCTTCGGGTCCGGATCAACCCAACCCGACCCAAATGACTATGTGCCAACAAAAAACTGCTAATTTTTTGGTCCAAAAATTGGTCAATCTCCGCTTTTCGGATAAAAAACGGGTCAACCCAAACCCAAACCCGATTTTTGAAACGTGTCGAATTGTTGAACTCGAACCCGACTCGATTTAGGTTCGGGTCAACCCTAAACTCGAAATTTTCGGATAGAGTTTGGTTCTAGTTTTACTGTCGGATCTAATATTGACACCCCTATTTAGAAAACCAACACTGAAGATTATCATATGTGCTTGTATCACAGAAAGGAGAATGGGAATGGCTCCAAGTTCCTGATCAAGAAGAAATGTGGAAAGAATTTTGTACAGATAATCAACTAAGTCTACCAGCTTGCAGCAGCCCAAGTTTCTTTTCAGCACAAATTGGGAAATCAGAACTAGTATATTTGTACTAGGCTGTGTAAATAAATGGTAGGCATATGGTAATAAAGTCTTTTTGTTTCCTCTAGTTCATATGTACATTGCAAATGAGGTGTAATCAAAGTGACAAATATGTAGGGTATATGGCAATTTTAGGATGCTTGGCCTTATAGATTTTCTGAACTGTGTAAAGATAGCAGAATGTAACGGCAACAAGCTTGTAAAAAACAAGGTTGCAATCTTTTGACTTATTTTTTTAACAATATTATCGAGTAATTTCTGCTTTTCTGTCGCTTGGCTTTGGATGATGTGAAGCAATCATATTTTCAGAGGCTTTGTGTAGTTTTTATATATCATTTTAGACTTTTTGATGCTTCAATATTGCAAGACATTATTTGTCTTTTTGATTCACTTATTCTGCTTTTTATTTTATTATTCACCAACTTGAGCACTTTAAATAAAGAAAATGTTTTAATTATATGTATATTGGATTTGGGAGATTTATTTATTTATATAATATTTTAAATTTTATAAAAATAATTAATATTAACTTGTTTAAAATAAATATAAATTTATGTGTATTTGTTGATATGACTTAGATTTTAAATGGTGTATAAATAAATATTAGATTTTAGGTATTATATCTGTAAATTTATAAAATTTGGCATGCATGTGAACTTCCCTATCAATTTTTGCTTTTAAAGTAAGATTAGATGTTCCTTGAAATTGTGAAAGCACATGCAAGTAACGTCGTTTGGAGACCAATCAGAATGTGCAACGTCACTCGTGCTCGGTACCACAGTTTGGTATTGCTGATTTAGCGCATTCTGGTTGGTCTCCGGATGATGTTCTGTGTTTGGTCTTCGCATAGAATAATTTCTTTGTAAGTAGGGGTATTAGAGAAATTATTACGTGAGGTCATTAAACAGTTTAGAGGCGAATCAAGATGCGTCACGTCATTTCGGTACATAGCAAATGGTGATGTGGCACGTCTTGATTCGCCTCTGGACAGCGTCCAATGATCGCATGTACTAATTTCTCATTAAAATAGGTTAATAAGTTGAATTTGAATTCAATATGAAATTGACATAATTTAAATTCATTTAAACTTTCAACCTGTTTAATAAATATGTCAAAAATGTGAATCTGGATTATTTAAATTTGACTCAATAATTTATTTGGATTTTATAACTTATTAATTATATAGTTTAGCTTAGTTGATTAAAATAAGAAGATTATACTAACAAGCAATTAAGAAAAAAATTAAACGGGTATTAGCTAAGTTTTAACCTGAAATAATTAATCAACTCATAATTGGTTAGGGTAATCAATAATTAAAACTTCACTTAAACTCATTAAAGATAAAGCTATGATTTTCATAAGATATTTAAAGTTTATTTACTATTTAATTATAATAATTGGCAAAGAAAGCTTAATTAATAGTTTAATTCTCATACTAATTAAAAATTAATTATATAATATTCCTAATTAGAAATTAATTAGTATTTAATTACAATTATTCAAGGTTAATGATAACTAATCGAACACAAGCAGAGAAATATCAAACATTATTGAACATAATAAGAGAAAAAAATTTATGAAGAAAATTGAAAAAAAAATTCATTGGTTTATATGGGGCTCCTTTATAGGAGTAATTATTACGTGCGGAGTCTGAACCGTCCAAATTCATGAGGGTACATAGTTTTTTATAAAATTGTATATTGACCGCATATTTCCTGCGTATCCTCACAAAATTCGGACGTATCTTACGTCCGGACTCCGCACGTAATAATCTCTTTTTTATAAACTTGTATTTTCAAAAGTTTACATTATTAACTTATAATATCTTAATTTATAGCATAATACTTAAAACAACTATGATTAAATTTAAATTATAATGATATTTTTATAGTTACAGTATTTTTTTAATATTTATTCCATTAAAAAAAAACTCATATTGAATTAGAGAATAAAATTTATGTTGTTAGCAAAATGTATTGCAGTAATTTCAATATTATTTTGGAATTTTAACAGTTCACGGATTGCATCAGTATTAGCCTTGATGGAATAGATGAGTTCAGTGATTATAGTATACACGACCCAAATGAAATCCCTCATAATCTTATCTTGCCAAAAAAATGTTAGTTGGGCTTCGAAAATTTGAGCCCCCTCCTCTTTGCAGACCTTTTTCTTTCTTTCTTTTTGAGTCGTCACGGAGAGTTTTAACGCTTAAGTTCCAAGACAAATTTTCTGAAGGCAGATATTGCCCAGAAATTTTGCCCTTATTTTACGAGGACTTTATGATATGGCTTCAGGTTTCCTATAGATGTAAGCCCTTATAGTTAATTATCCCTCCCGATAACAAGAGAGGACTTTAGATTAAGGCTTATCATCAAACAAATATGTAGTATATGGCAAGTTTAGTTGGTTGTTTAATGGGGCAAATTATTAGGTCCGGTCGCCAAACCTAGAGATAGGTCCGGATATTAATAAAATATTATTTTAAGTTAAGCTTGTCAAAAGCGCAAGTAATGAACATGTAAAGTGCAGTCAAAAAGCACAGTCAAAGCGCACCTAAAACGCAATTAAAGCGCAATCAAAAAGCGCAGTGGACAACCAAAAATTACGACTACGGTGTAAAAAACATAGCAGTAAAAAAGTTGTCACAAATGAAGAATAAAGCTTTTTACTAATTTGCTTTTTATATCACAACCATAATTTATGTCAAGCCATTTCTTTTTTAGTACTTAAAAAATTGTACAAAATATTACTCTCTATACCAACTTTACAAAACAATATATATATATATTTTTTTCAAACTAAGCCTAAGAGTGCTACTTCTCATACTTATGAGCGCTTACAAACTAAAACAAAATATTCTGACATGCTAAACATGAATTCAAAATCTCTCTAACTAGAACAACTCATCACAACCATCCAATCTAGATTGGATGACTAAGATGAATAATTGATAATTGAAGAGAATATGAATCGATTAAGACTAATAGGTATAACAAAAGAACTATGAAGAGAAGCGCATGAGAGATAATGTGAAGGAAACATCTACTCATTTTCTCTTTATCACTCTCTCATATATTAATCAATAATTAAAGACCTAACTCTTATTTCTTAGCTCTCAAATTTTACTCGATCAACAATATAATTTTTTTTTAAGTTTTTATTTTATTTTAATTTTTTTAAGAATTTTCCAAAATACCTTTGACCATGAAGAAAGTGCAAGAAACTGGACAAATACAATGGGAGTGTCAACCACAAAATCACCTGGTTTTTTCTTTTATTGAAGAGAATGATCACCAAATGGTTCAAAACAAATCCAGGCCCTCATTTCTATCAGAATGAAAGCGAAAATTAGATGACTGGTTCAAAGACTCACTATTCTCGAAGAACAAATCCAGGCTCTGTTGATATTTCTGTATCAGTTCCAGGACATCAATTTTCTGCACTGAATTAATTTCTCTTAGTAAGGTATTTGTTAGTCTCTTGCAATTAGCTGCAGGTAGCTCATTATCTGAAGAAGAAGAGTAGCCATCCTCTAAGCCGTCGAGCATGGCTAAGTCGTCGTACTCTTCATCCGACTTCGTTGATTCCTCATCTACTGAACCCCCCATCTGAAAAGAAGAAGAAAGCATCTCATCAATATGAGGGATAATTAATCATAAAAGTTTATGCATATAGATAACATGAACTCAGTGAGAGTGAAAAGTTTATACGTGAGGGATAACTAATCATAAAAGTTTATGCATATAGAAAACAGTCCTCACAAGTGAGGGTGGAATCTCTGGATAATAATATCTTTAAAAAAATTTTCCTGAAACTTAATCTGTTAAAACTCTCCACAAATCAATGCGGAGAGGTCGGGGCATCCAAAATTTTTGGAGCCCACAAGGTATTAACTATAGAACAACTCTTTTTCCCCAAACTAACATAAAATTTAGCCTACCGATTTCTCCTTCCCACCCCCTATTGGTGCCTCTACCATCATCTTTCTCTAGTCTCTATTATACAATACAAAATCATCTAAATATATCATTAAAATGAAATCTTCATAAGATAATACTTTTACAACCTATCTAATAAAATACATTATTGTTTTATATTCTGATCTCATGACAAACCCATCAGGGTGGAAGCATGTGATGCGAGAGTTTTAGTTTCTGCACCTACACGTAGTATTTGTGTGCATGAAAAAGTGTGAACTACTCAGAATATGTATATTTTCCATGCGAGTTTTAGTTTGTGGAATTAGTTCTACGAGGTTTTAAGAAAACAATTTCATTCCTTGATGCTTTTGCATGGACTTTGATTTTCACTATGAAAAAACATATGAAGAACATAACATGGTTCACCGGATGCAAAATAATTAATATTTGATATGTTCCAGAACTTATTATCGGAACTAGTTCAATATACCTCTTCATGGATGTCCTCTATGTAAATGTGATCGTCTTCACTGTCAGCAGCAGGTGGCTCATCAGCTTCATCTTCACTTCCAAATACAGATATTTCTTCCATAGGCTGGTATGCAGAACAAATTAGAGTTTAAAACTTGTCAAAAGCATTGGAGATATGGTTGGTGAGTTTAATTACAAGCATATATGCAAAGAAATAAAGGACATATTTTACAGCCAAATATCTTATGGATATCTAACTCTATAAAAAGGCATTACTAGCTTCTAGGGGAACTGAATGAAGAGTAGAAGAGTATTTACAGCACCGAAAGATATACAAAACTACGTTTTAGTTTTAATGTTGAACTGCGTGCTTATCATTGCAGAAATGGGAATAGAAGGAAATAGAGTACCCATTTCACTAAGGGCTCGTTTGTTTGTCCATTTTTACTGTTTTTTTCGTCTCGTAACGATAAAAGTAGAAAAAAAAATTTTGTTTGATAAAACTATTTTTCTTAACCACGTTCTGAATGTCGTTGTTTTTGAACTGTTTGAAAAGTTATTTGATATTAACTTCTCCATTAGAAAAATATGTTCTCTCAAATAATAATTTTAAAACTATCTTTTAGAATAGGTACAAAATAATCAAATGAAGCCTAAATAATAAATTCAGGTCATAAAATTCATCTTTTAATATCCAAACAAACAAATTGCTTGTTGATCAGGTTGCAAACAAAATATGGGGAGTAAAATCACTAGCACATAGTCAAGTTGCCTCAACTAACAACCTACACTTCAGTGTTAGCATATGATGCTTATTAGGAAATAATATTCATATTAAGGAGAGTATATATTTTGGGAAAGCAGACATTTATTCTTGGTTAATTATAATTTATCACTTTACTTTCTTCCTATTGTATTCATCTTGTATAAAAGAAGTGATCCTAACTATCTGTTTCCTCGCTAATCATATCCCCCTGTACACTTTTCAACAATAAAGCACCAATCAGCATACTTTCTTCCAATCTATCTATTATTTCAATTACTCCATTAATGGTTAGTTGCCCTTATTCATGTTGTTTTCCCACATGATAAACTCTTTTCCTGCTCACTCATATATTCATTGGGTACTCAAACTCAAAAAGGATATATAGGCTATGATCTCCTAACCAAATATTCTTACGCTTCATTTGACATCACCTACAACTTAACAATCTAAAACATACTAATATGAGGTTAAGATATATGTAATGACTGCAACAAGTACACATAAGCCACAATAAAGCAACATCTAAAAAAGCCTACATTTGCAGGGAAAATAAATGCCTCATTACCTCTTTGGAATTTCCTGAAATTTTAGGAGAACTAGAGAAAGAAGAGTAGTATTTGCTCATAGAATCAGTGCCATCAGCTCTGGAATCATCCATACTTCCAGCATAACTAGTACCACCAGTATCATTTGACCAAGCACTAATCCCAAAATTTCCAAACTGAAGATTAACAGGCTCTGCCTTGCAAATCAGCAAATGACCAAAAATGTTGCTTTCGTCACAGCTTCTATCTTTGGATGAAGATATTATGTTACCGTTAACAGAATCAACCGACCATGTTCTAGCAACCGAACCATCAGTATTGACAAGTGCCATCAGACGCCTGGAAGACCCTAATCCCTGTATTAGCTGAAACATTCGTTTGGAACTAAGAGAGTTAGCAGCACACTGGTTTCTGTGCTCTTCATAAATTATGGGAACTGTATTTGTAACTGGATCATACAACTTCTCTCCTGCCTCTTGCCTCCTTAGGCAGCTAAAAACTGTGGCATGAATTGCCGCTACACTCCGGTCAACATTTGTATTGTTTATCTTAGGCACCAGATGTTTATCGGCACGATTGCAGAGGTAATCTTGAATCGTTCTTATATTATGTATGTATTTAACATACTTATTTCTTGCAGGATCCAGTGCCATGTATTTAGCACGCACTGCAAACCTCTCCTTGTGTTTCTCTTCATTTGTAATGTAAACCATAAAAGGTATTATTGAAGGATGCTTCTTCATAAGTCCCATCTAGCAAAAACAGAAAATAGCTAGCAAAATTAGAACTTAAAAAAAAATGATTCAAAACTCTGATCAAACTTTCAATAGAGAATGATATATGAAATGGCCTTAATAACATCATAAGGAGATTTATAACGAGTTTATGAGAATATATATATATATATATATAAAGAGAGAGAGAGAGAGAGAGAGAACAAATTTGTCATATTCCCAAGGTTCAAGAGATTCATAAACAGAGTTGAAAAATATATGGCATCTGCTTTATGGCAATTATCCCACCTATGACATTTTTTTTAACTGATCCAAAAATTTATGCAAAGAAATAGACAATCATAAATCATGTTCAGCCAACCATGAGCTAGTACCCACCACAAAATTGAGGTTCAAATGAACACCTTCAACGATAGCAGATTGATTTTGATCTTCCCAATTGGTGATCAATCGATCAAGACTATCAATGACCATCTCACTCTGTGCCTTAAAACCCTCAATAGCCATTTGCTTTTTGCTAATGGCCTCAGTCGTTGAACCAACATCTGGTGGTTTTCTCCCACACTTATCAGCTGTGGAATTATCAGGCAAATCTTCCATAAGAAAAGATTGGGAAGCACCAGCTAGTCTTTTTGCTTTCCTCTTCATCTTTGCTTTCGCAATTGCCACTGGATCCAAGCATTCACCAGCATGGTAAGTTGAGGACCATAAGAGTGGATTTTCCTTTTCATCAGCAAAACTTCTCATCATGTGGCGAATTGAATCAGTTGAAATCACGTTGGTTATGCCTAATCTGCTTCCCTGCAAGCAAATATTAAAATTTCAACCACATCACTATCTAATAAACTATAGACAAAGATGCCTATTTCATAGGCAAACATTTTTATTCAACCATCTAAAAGGTTTGAGTATGCATTAAAAAAATTGCATTGTTTCTGATCTATGATGCACAAACACAAACATGGTGACACAGCACGGACACGAGACACGTCAATTATTGCAATTATAGGACATGTACACGGGTTGGATATGGTATTATAGTTTTTATATTTTAAAAATAATATATAAAAATTAAATAAGTATAATTTTAAAAATAATTTAAAAAATATTAAGTCATTTAACTAAAATTTGTGCTTAAAATGATTAATATTAGGATGTTGAGAGCAATGAGTCGATGTTGTTTATCAGTCATCGAGAGGAGTGTCGGACAAGTGTCATGTCGGATACGTGTCGGACACTGCACACCTCTTTGAGGAGAAGTGTCGGTGCATCATAGCTTCTGATAAGGATGCAAATTTCATAGGTAGCGGTGGCCATATATATATATATATAAGTCATAATAAAATTATTCACATGGAGTGAGATGATCAGAGAGTTGAATAAACTTAAAAAGTGATTTATGAGACATCATCAAATAAATGATACAATAAAACCCACCTCCAAGAAAGAAGGCTACTCAATAGTTATGAAATGTGAACCATCAAACAAACACCAAGAGTAATCCTCCAAAAAATAATACAGATCTATTATTCGTTCTCTACCATACCAGTGGTTGTCGTCATCATGGAAGATTTGATCGTCGCTCAATCTTATTGCTCCTCTCGATAGGAACACCTCTCAAGAACATTTTCTCTTGGAGTTTAAGTTTTCTCATAAATATGTTGTTTCCTACGGATGCACGTCGGGCACCTTCTTTGAAAATATTAAATGTCATTATCACAAATTCCCATATATCGTATCACAAAAGATTATGAACATGTATAATGAATCATGGGAATCATGGCATTCCAACAGTTAATTTGCTTCATTAAATAATAAATACGCTTCTCCAAAACATACTTCCAAATATGTCAATCCGATAGAAGATAAACACAATATGAGCTCACATGCATGGCACCAAAACATACTACGAACTCCAATCTCGTTCATTCCCCCTCTATCAGAGTATATGATCGCATAATCCAGCATTCAGTTCTGTTGAAGTTTTCATAAAGCACTACCTTAATCATCATAAACTATCATCATGATTGGTCCTAACTTCAAGGTGCTCAACCCCATAAATACTTAGCATCAGCCTATGAAAGTGATTGGTTAGGAGTTTAGTTGGTAACTATAACAAAGGCTTTGCAATGTAATTCATCTTAGGGGATCTAATTTGTCAATGATCTCTGATTCATAGTTTTCTATTTTTCTTTCTCCCAATTCTAATTTATTTCTATTATAACTTCTTCCTATTGTGGTTTATCTCTTCTATCCCTCTAATCTCTTTTCAAGTAATCACAACTTTGAGTTATAAGGTCATCCCACATAACATCTCTCTCTCAAGCAAGGAATAAATCTTCTTAGCTAATCCCATAGTCAACGTAAGTTTCTTGGCCTAACCACTTTAAAAATTCACAGTCTGCTTTGTATTATTTCTCTTCCCTTCGTCTCATTGTAGAATAATACAGACGTGGTACTCCCAATCTCTCTCTTGTTACCAAATCTCGACACGCATGCTCTCTCTTAACCACACAGGCAAGTGAGTTCACATCATTTGCATCCTTGACGTCATCTATAGGAAGTCTATTGTTATATGTGGTAAGAAGTAGCCATATTAGACGAGACTGTCATGGACATCATGTCCATTTTGAGTCCAATCCTTTGTGCCATGCAGGGGAACCTTTGGGAATGACACCTTGGCACTGATGGACTACATGATGCCCATTTATGAAGGGGAACCTTTGGGAATCCTTGGCGCTAATGGACTACGTGATGCTCATTTTGAAGATCTTTGCCAACAACCTACTTGTCAAACTAAGTTTGTCCATGGCTCATTGTTACGCCGGCCCAGGAGGGGCCGGCTGGACCGGTCCAACCCGGACTGGTCCACACCTACAGGAGGCGGAACCGAGCAAGGCGGGCGGAACCAAGCGGAACGAGCGAATCCGACGAGGGCCAAGGAAGAGTTTTGGGAGGGAAATTTTGAATGCGAGGGGCTGTTTAGACATTTTGTAAAAATCCTTTATGATTAATTAGGAGATTAGGAGGAAAGGGGGGATTATCTTGAATTTGAATTGTTGGGAGATCTAGGGTTTGGTGTTCTTGGGCTCTTGGCTTTACCGGAGATCTTTGGAGAGTTTTTCCTTCCTCTCGAATTGAAGGAAAGTTGTATCTTGCAAGTGCTTTTCATCGTCTAGTGGAATAAAAGTGTTTGCTTCATTTTCCTACGATTTCTCCTACGTTTCCTCTTAGTTTTTCTCGTATTTTTGCTGTTTTTCTGCTGTGGACAGCAGTTTCCATCGGATCTACTTCAGTTTTGGTGAGAAACACTTGGGACTTCAAGTGTTTCCTATCAAATTAGTATCAGAGCATCGATTTGGGACCACCGGCGGTTGAAATTCTGAAATTTCAGCAAGATTCTCGTCTCCAGAAGAAGATTTTTGGGGATCCGTTAGAAGAAGGATGGCCAGAAAGAAGGTGGGCGTTTTGGAAGGCAAAGTCGGTCAATTGAAAACCTATTTGGAGGAAAGATTCTTTGATTTTCAAAATCAAATCACCACCAACAATGAAAGGTTGGAGGGCAAATTTATGGCCATGGAAGAAATGATGAAGAAAAATTATTGGAGATTAAGACTAATCCGACGACGTCGGAAGCAAGAGAGACTACCGGAGACCACGGCGTAGGAGGAAATCCGAACCCGCGAAGGGGGAGGAGGAATCAGGATGTAGAGATCCTTGAGGGAGATGACGACATGCCACCTCTAGAGCCACTTTCTAGAGAGGAGATGAGCATGGAAAATGATCGTCGAGGTGCTGATTTTCAGCGTCAGGGAGCTGATTTTGAAGGCAGGAGAGGGGAATAAGAGGGAAGTGCAGATTCTGGCGAAAGAAGAGAAGAATATCAGCGTCGAGGTGCTGAATTTCAGCGTCGAGGTGCTGATTTTGAAAGGGGAAGAGGGGAATATGATGACGGATTCGGATACCAACGCCGGAGGGAGGACCGGGACACTTGGGGAGCACCTCATCTTCGAGGAATGGGAGGTTATGGAGAGTACCGGGGTAACGGAAGGGATCCGAAGGTGAGGAAGTTGAAGATGCCCATCTTTGAGAGGGAAGATGGCCATGGCTGGATATACAAGGTGGAGCGTTACTTTGCTGTCAACGGGTTGACAGACGATGAGAAGCTGACGGCGGCAGGATTGTGTCTGGAAGGGAAGGCGTTGGCCTGGTATCAGTGGCGAGACAGGAGAGAGCCTATCAGGAATTGGCGAGAGTTCAAGGATTGTCTATTAGAGCGTTTCCGAGCCGATGGGGGAGGAGACTTCTATGAACA